ACTATAGGTGTGTGCCACCACACCTGGCTAATTTTGTATTTTTAGTAGACATGGGTTTCACCATGTTGGCCAGTATGGTCTCGATCTCTTGACCTTGTGATCCACCAGCCTCAACCCCCAAAGTGCTGGGATTACAGGCGTGAGCCACCGCGCCCAGCCAGAATACTATACTTTATAAACATTAATCAAAATCAGTTTGTAACAAGCACCTATAAACATCCCAGTTTCAAAAATCGGGAAGCAAAAAATTTTGCTCAAACTCTGCAGTCACTGACAGTGTTTTGAAGAGTAACAATCACTGAATGCTTGCAACTTCCCAGCGCCTTTCAGAGACAAAGGCCCATGGTTTCTGTACACATTTTGCGTCTTGTGGCCCAGCTTTCCTGGCCAAAGCTGAGTGGACCAAGGATTAGTGACTGGTTGAAAAGTTGCCATCTGTAGGTTAGACCGCAGCCAATGAGATGTCCTCATGCAAGAGACTGGCAGGAAAAGGGCGCCCTCTACAGGACGGCTCTTGCTGACCCAGTTTGACTGCCAGAGATACTAGAATCATCAGTCAAACAGAAGAGGATGTCAAGACAGTCACAATAAAGAGAGAAGTCTAGAGTTTGCAGCAAAAGCCACCTTCTGCTGAGAGGACAGTAAATAACCAGGTATTTGCCTTGTATCTCAAATGCCTGTTGGTTTTCTTGATTTCCTACTATTTTCTCTTTGTAACCTTCTAGTAAGTCCTCATTGACTGAGGAAGCTAGAACTCGCTTTCCTGACACCTGTAGTAGGTTGAGTAATCCCTAGTCCCCAGAACCTGTGAGTATCAGCTTATGTGACAAAAGGGACTTTGAAGATGTGATGATTTAAATTAAGAATCTTGAGATGGAGAGACGATCCTGAATTATCCAGGTGGGCCCAGTATAATCACAAGGGTCCTTATAAGAGGGGGCAGGAGGGTCAGAGTGAGTAGTAGGAGATGTGACCATGGAAACAGGAGGTTGGAGTGATGTGAGGCAGGGGTTCTAAAGCAAGGACTGCAGGCAGCCTGCAAAGCTGAAAAAGGCAAGAAAATGGCTTCTTCTGAAGCCTCCAGAATGAGCCATTTCTGCAAACACTTGGCAAAATCTCAGTGAAACTGACGTTGGACTTCTGGCCTCTGGAACTGTAAGATAATACATTTGTGTTGTTTTCTCCCTTTTTTTTTTTTTGAGACAGAGTTTTGCTCTTGTTGCCCAGGTTGGAATGTAATAGGGCGATCTTGGCTCACCACAACCTCTGCCTCCCAGGTTCAAGTGATTCTCCTGCCTCACCCTCCGGAATAGCTGGGATTACAGGCATGTACCATAAAGCCTGGCTAATTTTGCATTTTTAGTAGAGACAGGGTTTCTCCATGTTGGTCAAGCTGGTCTCAAACTCCCAACCTCAGGTGATCCACCCGCCTTGGCCTCCCAAAGTGTTGGGATTACAGGTGTGAGCCACTGCACCCGCCCACATTTGTGTTGTTTAAAGCCACTAAATTTGTGGCATTTTGTTACAGCAGCCACAGGAAACTAATATGCCAACTGACAGACTAAGACAGAGGTCAGCATTTTCTGTGTTCTTTCATTCAAGAAGACGGACAATACCTTAAGCACTTAACCGTTCTGCCTATTAGCATTGTGAGAAGTTCTCTGATATGCTTTGAATAGGTCATTATATTGCCAGAAGCATATAAGGGAGAAAATGAGAAACTAGGCATTGAATAAAAATGACAAGAGAGTTGCCAATGCGGCCACAGTTACTCAAAAAACACACCAGAAGAGTGATCTTTGTAGCTAGGTGCAGTGGCTGATGCCTGTAATCCCAGCACTTTGGGAGGCCAAGGCAGGCAGATCGCTTGAGGCCAGGAGTTCAAGACCAGCCTGGGAAACTTGGTAAAACCTCATCTCTACTAAAAGTAAAAAAAAATTATCTGGGTGTGGTGGTGCATGCTTATGGTCCCAGCTACTCAGGAGGCTGAAGTGGGAGAGTTGCTTGAACCAGGGAGGTGGGGGTTGCAGTGAGCCGAGATCACACCATTGCACTCCAACTTGGGCAACAGAGTGAGAGCCTGTCTGAAAAAAAGGAGCAGTCTTTATAAGGAGAAAGAATTTGACGTTATATTTTTAAAACTACTAATGACAATGAAAACAGGTAAGAGGGCTGGGCGCGGTGGCTCATGCGGTCAAGAGATCAAGACCATCCTGGTCAACATGGTGAAACCCGTCTCTACTAAAACAATACAAAAAATTAGCTGGGCAAGGTAGTGTGTGGGATTACAGAATCCCAGCTACTCAGGAGGCTGACGCAGGAGAATTGCCTGAACCCAGGAGGCGGAGGTTGTGTGCGGTGAGCCAAGATTGTGCCATTGCACTCCAGCCTGGATAACAAGAGCGAAACTCCATCTCAAAAAAAAAGAAAAAAAGAAAAGAAAAAGAAAACATAAGAAACTGGTAAAACTGAAACTGCACTTCACCCAGGGCTGTACCCATCACACAGTCACTTTTCATTAATTCAAAATCTGTCTGGAGAGCTATCTCAATGCTCTTGTTAATTACTTCTTTCAAGGCATTCTCCTCATTGTAAGTGAGCACACCCCTGGGTACCATCCTATAAGTACATTAACGACTATATGCAACATCCTGAGCCAAGTACTTATACACATAAACTGGCTTTCTGGCGCACCTTGCAACTCTCCCATGATAATTTCTAGAGAACACTGTGCCAGGTAGGTGCGCCTGTCATCCTCAATAAAGACCCAAGTGAGGATTCTTTTCTGCAAGGATTCAAGTTCAATCAGCTCATTCCGCTAGTTCCTCAGAAAAGGCTTTCTGCTGCCAAAGAAAATAAGGCCTTTTTAAAAAACACAACAGGTTTCCACTCACGTAGTATATTTTAGGATAAACGCATTTTGAAGGCAAGGGCAAGGTTTTTGTGCATACTTTTATTTATCCCTTAGTAACCTGACTATGACTATAAAGAAATGTTTATGCTATAGTAAAAGGATGATTCTGATAATCACCGTATTGATTGTTTTGATAATTAGATTATTCTGATAATTACTGTATTGATTGCTTTGATAATTACTGTGTTCTTAGTTGCAGACCACAGAATTCACTCTAGCTAGTTTCACTAGAAAGGGACTGCAGAAGGGTATTAGGTAGCTTACAGGATTTCCAGCAGTGTCAGAAATAGGCTAGGATTCCACACAGCCAGAAACAACCCCAGCACGAATGCCCAGCCATGAACAGGACTGTTCTCACAGAAGCTGCCCTGCTGCTGCTCACCAGTCAGTACCTATGATGCTAGGGGCCGGATGCTGGAGCTTCTCTCCGAGCTCTTTCACAGCCATGTCTGTGAAAAGACAGACCCACCTACATGTGCTGCCACTTCACTTAAATGACTGTCATCTTCCTGGGGCACAGAGGCATCTGCTGGGCAGAACTGGGCCATAGGCAAAACCCTAGCTACAAAAGGGTCCAGGCACTGTAGGTTTTAAAAATGGTTAAAGCAGATGTTGTGTGGACCCATCCGTGGAATCTGCCACAATGACCATATGGATTTCAGGCAATTTGTGTGTCAAAATGATGGTAATCATGAGAGTTATATGAGAATAATAGCTAGCAATTTCCAGTGCTTTCTAGTGCTTAATATCTTCTAAGCATGATCTCACCTAATCCTCAAAGCAGCCCTATGAGGTAGATACTTATTCGTGTCTTTGGACTGTGAGTGAAGACACTGAAGGACCAGAGAGGTTAATTCACTCACCCGACACCTCATGGTAGAAAAGCCAGGATTCAGACTCCAATCTGTCTGAATGAAAGCCTGCGCTTTCAGCTAGTATACTGCTAACGCTTTACTAATTATTATAGTTCATCTGCGAGGGGCCGCTTGACCAGCGAATCTGGGTTTCCCATTTCTGGAAGACTTTGTATCCACACTGGGACTCTGATACTTGTGTAACTGGAAAGGGAAATGCGATCTTCTGAACGTGGACTGCAAAGGAGAGGTCAGCTTCTTGCTGTTTTACTGTTTCTACCAGTAAGAAACAGGCAGGAAATAAATGGCTTTCCCTCACATTCCCCCCTTTGAGACTCTCACTCCACTTTTAGTGGGAGTTCTCACCTTTATTATCACTGTCTGGGTTCTCCTGTGGGACTGACTGATAGTGACTCATATAGTAGACCTGTGCCAAGGTCTTTTGCTGGACCACAGTAGTAATAAAAGTTTTCATTATTTGCAGAAACAAGGCTAACAAGTAAGGAAGGAGCAAGTATGTCCCAATTATTAGCAGCACACCTATGATGAGGGTTTTGAATCCTCCTCTAGCTGGAAACCGTTGTCCAAACATAGACCCAGGATTAAATTTATGGTAAACCCGCACTGGCACATGTGCCAATTTTGACATGTCCTTTGCAATGTTTTTAACTACCTGACCTTGATTATTTATTTGCAGACAATTAGTTAAGTTGAATTTTCCACACCCCTCCCTTCCCTTGGCTGCCAGTAGGTAGTTTAAGGCCAGCTAATTTTGATATATAGCATTTTTTATCTGCATTTTTATCTGTTGAGCTAGAAAAGTTAAAGCTTTGTCCGTTTTATTGGTTGTTACCTTCAAGACAGCTTGTAATTGAATGATTCCACTGAGCACGTAAATTGGGGTACAGTTACCCCATGAGCCTTCCTCCACCCAGGTGGCAGTTCCATAGTACTGTATTAGTATCTTGGGAGGCCACTATCTTTTTTGAAATTGCCTATGGCTAGGCTTTATTTATCCCGAGAGGTATAAACAGGGAAGCCCAGTAATTCCCCAGTTTTTATAGGTAGCCAAAATAAGGAAAGTTTAGAGAGTTTGTAACAAATGTAGGCTGCCCATCGCAGGGACTACACACCTTATACTGAGTAGCATTATATAAGCATGTTCCTTTTAGGGTTTCCTTGCATTTATAATAGGTATAGAAAAGCAGAACCATAATAGTTTTTTTCCCTACCTTGGTGATCTGATGTGTACGGGCACAAGTCCATAGTTTGAAGAAAGGAATGTTTGTCCCACACTGGAAGTCTTCACACTTCAGCCGTGCGTAGACCGGTCAGCTTCCAGGGTGACTGGAGCAGGACTTGCTGTCTTGGCTCTCCGTAAGGTGATCTTGCACGGGTTACGGAGATCTGGCTTTATTTCCCAGGTGTCTGGTGCTGCAGGTTTCACACGGCTGTGATGGAAACACGCAGGAACGCCTTCAACCTTCCCTAGCAACGTATAGTTGCACCTAGTGAGGTGAAAGGTCATAGTTGCTTGGTTGACCAAGCACAGGTCCTGCACTGGTCAGTAGTCCTTGGTCCCCGGCTTGGGGATGGGCAAGAGAGGCATGTTCCAAAGAGACTGGCAAGGAACTATAATACCATAGGCTTTCAGGTGTCTGAGATTGACCTGGATGTCCTTAAGAGCTTCCCTTCGGACCCGGTACTGCTTTTGTCTGACTAGGAGTACCCCTGGCTTTACTTTGATAACCACCGGGGCTTGGTTTACTGCCGACCCTGGAGGGTTGTCTTCTGCCCAGACTCATGGCCATCTCTTGGCCAGCGAAGCAGTTAATTCTCAACCCGGCTGAGTCAGGAAAGAGTCTCTACTCCTCCTCCCAAGGGACTGTGAGAGCCATGATAATTCGTGCCTTAGGCAGTTTGAGCTGCAGGGAGCCCTTATTAGTGAACCTGATAGTAGCTTTTAGTTTGCTTAACAACTTTCTTCCCAAGAGGGATAGAGGGCAGTCCAGCATGTATAAGAACTGATGTATAATCTTGTGGCCTCCCACTGAACAGATCCGTGGTAGGTAAAAAACCTGCGTCTCTGAAACTCCAGTGTCCCCAGTTATGTCTATTGTCTTGTTGGACAAAGGGTCTACGGGTTGGGTCACCACCAAGTGCTCCCTCCTCTTTCTCTTTCTCTCTTTTTGTTTTTGATTAAGTTTGCCATTTCGCTTGCTGTTACACTAGCTTCACAGTGTTACACTGTTTGCCGTATTTTAGCTGTCGAGCCTGGCAGCTCCCACACACAGCTGCGTAGCCAGCTCTCCCTTGTCCTCAGGGTTAGCAGTTTAACTCTCGTAATCACTGATTCTCCTTTTTACCTTTTCGTTTGCCACGAGCACTGCTGCAGCTTGACCTCTCAACCACTGCGGCGGGGAGTGGGTAACACTAGCTACGGCCAGCTATGGATGTAGGGGAACTGGTCTGGATGTCCTGGCTTGCCTGTAACCTTATGCCGCACTTTGGAGACAAGAGACCTGTCCAGGCTTTCTTCTGTGGGCCAGTCTACTTCACACAGTGTTCTGAGCTTCCCTGGTGTCACGGTGATGCCATGATTTCCACTAAACCCCTTCCTGGAATTCTTTAGCATGGTTCCCAATGGAGTGGGTTTACTCCGAATCTTACCCATCTCCCTCTGTTAGGATGAGAACAGCACTCCCATGAGGTAGAGGGGCTGCTCACTGACTTTGTCTGATGTTACAGTTCAGGACTCTGCACTCCACCCTCCATCTCCGGCCTATTACAGCGCACCACTCTTTCTGTTCACTCACTTCAGACCCACAGGACCATTCGCCTCGCAGGAGTGTTTCAGATGTTGCTTGGCATTGGAGAGTTTGTCACTGCCCCCACAATACCTAGATTGTGAGAGCACCTCCTTCAGCCTTATGCAGTTCACTCCTGGTCCCAGCAGGCCCCACAATTCGCTCAGAGCGTACAGCTCACTCTAACAGACCTGCGGCCCCCACACTTTGCTGCTGATGAGCCCAATTGGACCCCTTCACACTCGTTCACACACACACACCTCCCATCACCCAAGTTCTGTGAAAACAAGATTACTGAAACCAGTTAGTTACAAAGAGACAAAAAATCAAGTTCAAAGTGCCAAGATAGATTGGCACATCATGGATAATCAGGCCATGCTTCCACCCAAAAGTGGTGGGCAAATTTCCCAGAACTAATCCTACCATGTTTCTTTCTGATGTCCGGACCGTCTGGATTCAAAGCGCCAGTCCCTTCTCAGTGTTCAGCCTTTGCCGGGCTCCACCACGGGGCCTGCCTTGCTGTGCTCTGGTGAAGCGTTCCACTGGGGCTAATGCCTATCCAGGAGCACCCTCAGGATTGCGTTGCCAAGTGGTCTGGAGTCCCCCATGGGGATGCTCTGCAGGGCAGGGCAAAGCTGCCTGGGAGGCTGTCCACCAACCGAAAACTCGCTTCCCGATCAGGGAACCAAAACGTAGCAGGACATGCAGCAGACAAAACCTCTCGAACACCGAACTGAGAAAGGAAGTGGCTTTTCATTCCGCTGGGAGCTGCAGCAGGCTCATGCCTTAAGAATCAGGCTCGCCAAAGAGCAGGTCCTTTCCCTTTTACAAGGGCTTACAACTTTGAAGGGGGAGCAGAGGTGAAACTGTGTTATTGCCCATTGGCCAGACAGCTGACCACACAGTCTTTGGCTTTCATTGATTTGCTAATTTGTATTTGGTGCAAGTGGGAAGGGAAGAAGGGGAAGGGTTACAGGAGCTGAATAAAGGCAGTAAATCACTTGGTGGCAGATGCAATTCTAAGGGGGGGGTCTGGATTGTGCAAACATGGAGTACGTGACTGGGACAGGTCCCTGGGTCGGAGGAAGAATATTCCTCTGCTACATTTTCAAGGTTTATAGATAACATAGATACCAGTTACGGAAGGGGAGTTATTTTCCCAGCCCTCGGGCCTCACTGCAGCAAGGCCGCTGACATCAGCTAGTCGCCTGACTGCTGACTTCAGCTTCTTGCTATTTTACTTTTTCTACCAGCAAACAATAGGCAGGAAATGAATGGCTTCCCCTCACACTTGGGCATCATAGCAGCCTGAGGGCTCCCCAGCCTAGAAGTTAAGCAGGGTTCGGTGTCAGATGGGCTTTGATGGGGGAGTGCTTGAAGAGACTAGGGGCTAGAAGCTTTTGGCTTGCCACTCCCTCACCGTTTTTTTTGCTTGTCACCACGCTTCTCAACCAACTGCTAACTCTCTGGCCCTCCCTTTCCTGCATGCCTGCTCCCCCACTCCGAGGCCAGGGACCTCCCTATGGGGGTCCATCATGGCAGCTGCCAAGTGTAATAGCAGCCTGAGGTCACCCCAGTTCAGAGCTTAGCAAGATGGGGACTGGCTGGGGCTTGGATGGTGCAATACCTGGGGAGATAAGGGCCTGGAAGCTTTTGGCTTCCTACTCCCTCCTTTTTTTTTTTTTTTTTTTTTTTTGAGACAGAGTTTCGCTGTTGTTACCCAGATTGGAGTGCAATGGCATGACCTTGGCTCACCACAACCTCCGCCTCCTGGGTTCAAGCAATTCTCCTGCCTCAGCCTCCTGAGTAGCTGGGACTACAGGCACTCACCACCAGGCTCAGCTAATTTTTGTATCTTTAGTAGAGACGGGGTTTCGCCTTGTTGGCAGGATGGTCTCGATCTCTTTTTTTTTTTTTTTGGTGGGGGGAGGAAGGCAGGAAGGGAGGGAAGAAGGACGGTAGGGAGGAAGGAAGGGATGAAGGAAGGAAGGGAGGAAGCGGGGAGGGAGGGAAGAAGGACGGTAGGGAGGAAGGAAGGGATGAAGGAAGGAAGGAAGGAAGGAAGGGAGGAAGTGGGGAGGGAGGGAAGGGAAGGAAGGAAATCAAGCAATGAGAGAGACATTGCCGACCTGGATCTAGAGGTTTACAAGTTGATTTCTTTTTTTTTTGAGAGAAGGAAAGAAAAAAAAATAAGTAAAGGAGAGGAAGAAAGAGGAAGAGAAAGAGGGAGAGTAAATGGAAATATTGCTTTATTTTGAAAAAAATTGAGTATTAATAATGGCCAATGTTTCATTTAAACTTATGGGTAGGTGTGATGCGATATTGACAAGAATGTATATTTTGTGTATTTGAAGTGGAGAGCTCTATGAATATTTATTAAGTTTACCTGTTCCGGATCTGAGTTCGAGTCCTTGATATCCTTATTTATTTTCTGTCTCATTGAATCTAAGTCTCGTATCTGGGTGTTAGGATCGTTAGCTCTTGTTGTTGCATTGATCCTTTTACCACTATATCTTTGTTGCTTTAAAGTCTATTTTCTCCGATACGAGAATTGCAACTCCTGCTTTTTATTTATTTATTATTTATTTTTGCTCTCCATTTGGTTGGTAAATCTTTCTCCATCCCTTTGTTTTGAGTCTTTGTGTATCCTTGCATGTGAAACAGGTCTGGATGTAACATGCCATTGGGTTTTGGCTGTGTCTTTTGATTGGGGATTTAGTCAATTTAAATTTAGGGTTACTGCCATTTGATGTTGACTGGCTGTTTTATCCATTCGTTGGTGTAAATTCTTCTTTATGTTGGTGCTCTTTACTTTTTGGTGTATTTTTAGAAAGGCTGGTTGTTTCTTTCTGTGTGTAATGCTTCTTTCAGAAGCTCTTGTAAAGCAGGCCTGGTGGTAGTAAAATCTCCGAGTTCTTGCTTGTTCATAAAAGATTTTATTTTTTCTTCAGTTGTAAAGCGTAGTTTGGCTGGATATGAAATTCTGGGCTGAAGGTTCTGTTCTTTGAGAATGTTGAATATTGGCCCCCACTCTCTTCTGGCTTGTAGAGTTTCTGCCGAGAGATCTGCTGTAAGTCTGATAGGCTTGCCTTTGTGGGTAACATGACCTTTCTCTCTGGCTGCCCTTAGTATTTTCTCCTTCGTTTCAACCCTGGTGAATCTAACGATTATGTGCCTTGGGGTTGCTCTTCTTGAGGAATATCTTTGTGGTGTTCTCTGTATTACCTGGGGTTGAATTTTGACCTGCTTTGCTAGTTTAGGAAAAATTTCCTGAATAATATCCTGAAGGGTATTTTCCAGCTTGGATTCATTCTCTCCATCGCATTCAGATACACCTATCAAACGTGAATTAGGTCTTTTCACATAGTCCCACATTTCTTGGAGACTTTGCTCATTCCTTTTTATCCTTTTTTCTCTAATCTTTTCTTCACGTTTTATTTCATTAAGTTGGACTTTGACCTCTGATATCCCTTCTTCTGCTTGAACAATTCGAGTGTTTAAACCTGTGCATACTTCTCGGAGTTCCTGTATTGTATTCTTTAGTTCCATTAATTCACTCATACTCCGCTCTAAGTTGTCTATTCTCAATAGGATTTCATCAAACCTTTTTTCAAAGTTCCTTGTTTCTTTACGTTGGGCTACAACATGTTCTTTTAACTCACCGAAGTTTCTTATTATCCATTCCTTGAAGAGTGATTCTGTCATTGGGATGCGCTCGTTCTCCATCAAGCCTTGTTTCATTGTTGATGTGGAACTGTGATCATCTTTAGAGGGAGAGGCGTTCTGATTTTGAGTATTCTCAGCTTTTTTACGCTGGTTTCTTCCCGTCATTGTAAATTTATCCTCCTGTCTCTTTGAAATTACCAACTTTCAGATTAGGTCTCTTGAGTGGATGTCCAGGTTGTTAGTTCCCGGGCCAGAGCAGCGGCGTTAAAACTGATGGTGCTTTTCTGCCCAGGATTCTCCTGTCTGGCTTCCTTCTTGTGTCGGTAGTAGGCAACTCTGCCTTCCTGAGGCTCCAAACCTCGGTCAGAAGGGGAACTGGTCCTGTTTACTCTGCGCCGAGCGCTCCCGCGCTGAGGTGCCGTCACAGCCACTGCCGGGCTCTGGTGTCCTGATGGGGACCCGGGCCAGTCCTCCGAGCCTGTTTACTTTGCTCCGAGAGCTGCCGCGCCAAGGTGCCGGCGGAACCGCTGCACCTGCCACGAGAGTCGCGCTGGCCACCCGTGTGTTTCCTCCACTGGGGGATCTCCTGCTCCGTGAGCGACCAGAATTTGTCTCGGTCTCGATCTCTTGACCTCGTGATCCACCCGCCTCAGCCTCCCAAAGTGCTGGGATTATAGGCGTGAGCCACCGCGCCCGGCCATCCTGCTCCCTTCTTACTTTCTTGTGCTTGTCACAATGCTTCCGAACTAACCCCTGACTCTCTGACCCCTTCTTTTTCATCCCCATGCACCCCTGCTGTGGCCAAGGACCTCCCCGTTGGGTCTATTTCAGAAGCTACTGGGCACCATAGCAGGCTGAGGGCTCCCCAGAAGCTTAGCCCAAAAGCTAAGCAGGGTCAGGCCTTGCTGTGGCTTGTATTAAAACTGCCTGGGGATACTGTGGGCTGGAGGCTTTTGGCTTCCAGCTCCCTTTCCACTTTCCCTCCTTGCCTCAGTGCTTCCCAAGTACCCCCTTACTTCCTGACCTCCTGTTTCCTGCCTGCCTTTGCTCCACTGCAGTTGTGGACCTCCCCCTGGGGCTCTGTTCAGGCAGTCCCCAAACACCATAGCAGTCTAAGAGTCAGGGCCGGTTGAGAACCGTTGCAACAAGCGGGGAAAATGGGAAAAGAGCAGGAAGCCAAAAGCCTCCAGGCTTGGTCTTTCCATGTGTTACTACATCCATGTGCCAGCACCAGGGAGGCCCAACCCTGCTTAGCTTTGAGATATAGCTAGCCTAGAGTTAGAACCTGTACACTGCCATCTTATAAAGGACAAAACTGTTTCCATTCTCCTCACAAGGACTGCTGACCTTGGTTTCTGTAAACTGCTACATTACTTTGCAAAAAGGTAAACCTGCATAGTTTCTCTGTAACTCCCAGAATTGCTGGCCTTTGATCATCAGTAATGGCCAAGAGTAGGCACCCCCGAATAATTCCAACCTGGTGCCAAGTAACTCCCACCCAGACGATGTGTAAGCAAATGGTTATCTTAAGTTCTACAAATCTCTCTCCTAGCCCTCGGAATGTCCGGAACCCATCACCCTCCTCTCCTACCCAGGAGGTGATTTACAGCCCACCGAGATATCTCGGTGGGATGAAGGTTTTCTTTCATCTCTGCTCCTTCCCCCCACTCCCAAAAGTAGTTTAGTGGGTATAAAAAGGTCTTGTCTCTCTTCTTTCAGGGCCACGGGTTGGAGAGACGTGAGTCCTCCGTGGTCGCCGGCAATAAACCCTGTAATTTGGCATACTTTTGTTCTGGTGTTGACTTTCTGTGCTCGGGTTCGATGCAACAGCTTCTGGGCTGGGGCGCCCTCAGGCTGCTATGGTGACTAAGGGCTGCTGGAACCACCCTCCCCATGGTGAAGTCCCAGGTCAAGGCTGGGGAGCAGGTAGGCAGGAAAGGGGGTCAGTCAGAAGGCGGATGGGAAGAGTTGTCAAAAGTAAGGGAATGTGGGAAGTGAGCAGGAGGCCAAAAGCCTCCAGCCACTGGACTCCCCAGATGGTCCGTTATCTAAGCCCCAGCCATGACCTACCCTGCTCACCTTCCATGCTGGAGCACCCTCAGGCTGCTATGCTGACAGTAGTCAGCCAGGATGGGCCTGGGTCCATCCTGGGCCACCACGGGGAGGGCCCAGCCCATGTTGGGAGCGCAAGTTGGAGGGAAATGGTGCCCAGAGAGTCTGGAGATGGTTAAGATGTGTTGCAATGAGCGGGGAAAAGCAGGAAAAGAGTAGGAAGCCAAAAGCTC